GGGAAAATAAAGGGAAAAAAATTATTCCCCCCCCAGGCACGGGGCTGGGGCAGGGGAAGCCCGAGCTTCCCCAGCCCCCAGAACAGACTGCTATCTGCAAGCCGTGGGAGAGCTGCGCGACTTCACACAGCTCTCCCACGGCTTGCGCAGAGCTGCACGAAGCCCAAAGCCTGGGGGCGCTGAGCTCAGCACCCCCCAGGCTTCTGGGTGCAGGCAGCTCTCCCACGGCTTGCGGAGAACTTCCTGAAGCCTGTAATCACCCCATAGGACGCACACACATTTCCCCTTCATTTTTGGAGGGGAAAAAGTGCGTCCTATAGGGCAAAAAATACGGTACTTAACCCGAGGTACCACTGTATACAGCTTTATCTTTTAAAGAAGAAATCTCAAAAGCGGCACATTAAAATACCAACTCAAAACAACCCAGAGCAAAACAAAGTCAAGCTTCCAGGAGAATATTTCAGCTCCTTCTTGAAGGGGCCTTTGGCTTCCCCCATCGCCAGCCTGGCACCCAGACATCTCCACTTGGACATGCGCCAGTCGCAAAACACACCTGGCTAATTTCTAATGCTGCCTGCTCAGCAAATGCCCTCCAGAACCAGATGCTGGAAACTGCAGGAGGAGACATTATGGCCAGATCCTGCTTGTGGGCATCTGGTTGGCTCCTGGGGGTCTTGGTGGGGGTGACAAGGACACTTAGCTTCCCATGAGCTGCCAGGCTGATTCAGGGTGAGACACCCCCACCCTCCCAACGCCCTTGGAAGCAGCAGCAACAGTGTCGTCTGCTTCCTCTGCTGGAGCTTTCCAGCAGCCCCATAGAGTTGGGGGCTGGGGGTTGGCTCCAGATCTGCGACGTCGTTGTTTTAATTTTATCCATTTCCTAACACCAAACCAGACTGTAAAACAAACCCCAATTGCCTCCAAGCTTTCTACAAAAAGAGAGAGATAAACCAAGGGAAAATAGCAGCAAAAGGTTTAAAATGCAGAACGGGTTGAGAATCCGCTTTCCAAGCCTTGTGATTTTGTGGGGGTGGGGAGTCTTCCTCTCTTCTGTTGTTCACACTGCCCTTCTCTTTCCCTTCCGCCCCCCAGGCGTGTGAGGTGTGCCTCCCCCCTTTCGCCGTCGGCCATGGCTCTGATCGAGGGCGTGGGGGACGAAGTGACGGTCCTCTTTGGGGTGCTGCTGGTGCTGCTGGTGCTGGCCCTCGCCTGGTTCTCCACGCGCACGGTGGAGCGAGGGGACCCCCTCTTTGCTGCCTCCCCCCCTCTGGCCGCAGGGGGGCAGCCGCGGGAAGGAGGCCTCTTGGTGGAAGACAGGTCTGGGGCGCAGGTCTCGGGGGTCCGGCAGGTCAAGGACGAAGGGGCGTCATCTTCGGCCGCTGCCGCCTCGGACGCCGGGGGGCTCAGGAATCGGACAGCCCCCACCCCTGCCCAGGGACCCCGGCTGGCCCCTGGCGCAGAAGCCCCCCCAGCAGACAACACCATCGTCCTGCGGCTGAAGTTCCTGAATGACACAGAGCGCCTGGCTCGGGTCCACCCTGACGACACTGTTGGCACCTTGAAGAGGTGAGGGGCTTCCTGTGGGGTTTTGGGGGGCTGCCCCAGTAGTGCTGATAGCTCCCTGTTGCTCAGTGAGGCTGGGGGTGAGTTCTCAGCCCCAATGAAAGGAGCCTCATCACCCACCCCTGGGGGGGGCTGCAATGGGGTCCGAATGCAAATACGCAGCCAGCCCCCTTCTCCCTTAACCGGGGATGGATTTGAGCACTGGGATGTGTATCTGTGTCACTTTCCATTCCGACAAATCCCAAAGCGGCTCAGAAACATTAATAGGACATCACAAGTACGGCATAAAACACTGTTATTATTATTAATTTAATTCTTGTTTAGCCCTTCATCTGCAGATCTCAGGCAGTTCACAACATCAAGTGTATAATTAAAAAAAGAATTATGGTCTAGAAAGCACGATTAGCAACCCAGCAACTGAGAAATAAGCTCAATGTCGCTGTTGTAGTGTAAGTCGTATGATAGGCTTAACAAACCAATAGGGCATTTGTAATCTGTGAAACAATATTGACAAAACAGCAACTGAAAAATAAGCTGAACGCTTCTGAGATCATACGCACACAATCCCCCACCCCCACGCCTCCAGTAATGAACTATTCATTAAAATGCAGTTAATTAAAAGTTCGTTAAAAGGACCCTGAATTAGCAGAAATAGCTACAGCAGATCCAGAGTTCCACTTATCAGGGGACCATCTCCCTCTGGAGTCAGCCAAAAACTTCATAGTGGGGGTGGGGGGGGTTAAGCCGCTGTCACTTATTAGTGGTATTTGTAGATGGCCCTCCAGATGCATCACGGGGGGGGGGGGGTCAGCTGCCCCTGTCCAAACTGAGCAGTGTTGGCAGCTTGCTTGTACTAAGTCTGACCCATCGCTTCAACTCAGTATTGCCCACACTGGCTGGCAGCAGTGGCCCTCTGGGATTTCCGGGAAGGTTTCCCCCCAGCCCTGCCTGGAGACGCTGTCGGTGGGGAGGGAAGCCGGGACCTTCTGCTTGCGAGGCAGATGCTCTGCCGGTGAGCTGTGCCCTTTGGCGTTGCTGGGGGGGGCCTTTGGGGGTCCCTTCCAGCCCTCCCTTGCTAGGATCCCTTTATTCAGCCCATGCCAAGGGACATGAGCCTCTCTCCTTCTCTTTCTGCCCCGCCAGGACCCACTTCCCAGGCCAGGAGCAGCTGGTGCGCCTCATCTACCAGGGCCAGCTCCTCCGGGACGACTCTCAGACGCTCTCCGCCCTCCACCTCGCCCACAACAGCGTGGTGCACTGCCACATCTCGCAGAACCGGCCGCCGCCCACGCCCGCCCACGGCAACGGCGCTCCGGCGGACGCCGCCCAGGCGGCCCTCAATGTGGGCAGCCTGATGGTGCCTCTCTTTGTGCTGATGCTGGGCGCCCTCTGGTACTTCCAGCTCCAGTACCGCCACGTCTTCACGGCCACGGCCACCACCTGCCTGGCGGGCCTCACCCTCGTCTTCAGCTTCGTGGCCTTTGCCGTCTACCGCAGATAGCGCCCGGACGAGGCCCGGACTCTGCGCGCCAGCCTGCCAGGGGAGGGCAGGGGCCCCGGGCGGACAGAGACCTCGCAGGCTCCCCGACTGCTGCCTTGGAGCTGCCTGGATGTGTGTTCCCTGCCTTTCGTCTTTGCACCCTCCCAGGACGCCACGTGCAGCAGCAGGCGCCTTGCATGTACCTCCAAGTGGGACTGGACTGGAGGGGGCTGGGGAGGGGGGCAGGAGCCTGTGGTGCCTAAGTGGGGCTAGGGCCCTGGAGGAGGGGCGGGTGGGGGTGGGGCCTTATGTGCCTGGGCCAAGAGCAGCGGGCGGGTGGGGGGCGTGCCTGGCCATGGCTTCTTTTAAAATTAAAACTGTGAAGGATGGGAAGCGGTCTCCCTTGTGGTGTGTGGCTGTGGGGGGGGGGGGCGGGGGGGGCTAGAAACTCAGATGCATAAGCTCATCACCAAAGGCCACCTGAGAACTAGGTCATGGTTGCCACAACAGACTATCTAGGCACCAATCCCCACCCCCCGATGAAAATCAATTATAATTATATAATATATAATTATATTTTAAAGAGAAAATCTCCAAGCTGTTTACAACACATTGGAACATCAAATAAAGCAATCCAGAATGAAACGAATGCAAGCTTCAAGGAGAATATTTCAGTGGCATTTTGCTTTCCCCGTATTTATTTGGCGACTTCATTTATAGAGCTGCCTCAGGGCAGAAGGACTCCAGGAAGGCAGTGTGGGGCAGTGGTGAGAGGGTCAGACAAGGACCTGGGAGATCAGGGTTCGAATCCCCACTCCGTCCCAAGTCTAACCAGGTGACCTTGGAGTCAGTTGCAGCCCCTTGGCCTACCTCACAGGGTCGTTGTAGGGATTAGTGTGTGTGTGTGTGTGTGTGAACTGTGGACTCCTTGGGGAAAAGGTGGGGCACAAATGCAATGAATAAGCTTTTCTCTTGACCTGCTTCAGGAAGCTGGAGGGAGCAGCCAGGCTGCTGCTGCTGCAGAGAGCGTCTGAGGTGGCCTGAGGTTCCTCCCCAGAGCCAGCTGCCTCCTCCGCCTCCTCAGCACTGGCAATGCCCCGGCCAGCCCGTCAGCGGGACATGGGCATTTCCCCCTCCCCACCCTGTGCTACAGCACCCTGCTCCTTAGAGAGCCAGCGTGGCATAGTGAGTCGTGCGCCCCGAGACCAAAATGGGAGAATCCAGGCGTGCCAAGCGGTGTGTGTCGTGCAGAAGGTGGGGGGCAGATGCAATGATCATAATGGGAAACATAATTGCTACTGAGTTCTTAGAATCATAGAATAGAATCATAGAGTTGGAAGAGACCACAAGGGCCATCGAGTCCAACCCCCTGCCAAGCAGGAAACACCATCAGAGCACTCCTGACATATGGTTGTCAAGCCTCTGCTTAAAGACCTCCAAAGAAGGAGACTCCACCACACTCCTTGGCAGCAAATTCCACTGTCAAACAGCTCTTACTGTCAGGAAGTTCTTCCTAATGTTTAGGTGGAATCTTCTTTCTTGTAGTTTGGATCCATTGCTCCGTGTCCGCTTCTCTGGATCAGCAGAAAACAACCTTTCTCCCTCCTCTATGTGACATCCTTTTATATATTTGAACATGGCTATCATATCACCCCTTAACCTCCTCTTCTCCAGGCTAAACATGCCCAGCTCCCTTAGCTGTTCCTCATAAGGCATCATTTCCAGGCCTTTGACCATTTTGGTTGCCCTCCTCTGGACACGTTCCAGTTTGTCAGTGTCCTTCTTGAACTGTGGTGCCCAGAACTGGACACAGTACTCCAGGTGAGGTCTGACCAGAGCAGAATACAGGGGCACTATTACTTCCCTTGATCTAGATCTTAGTTGGAAGGTTTCTCAGCAGAGGCTGGAGGGCCGCCTGTGAGAGCTGCAACTCTTGCATTGCAGGGGGCTGGACTAGATGACCCCTCTGTGCTTCTCTGTGGTGGAGTTGGAAGGGATCCCAGGGGTCATCTACTCCTGCCCCCTGCAGTGCGGGCATCTTTTGCCCCACGTGGCGCTCGAACCCACGACCCCTACGCCAGGCGTCTCCTGCGGGAGCGTCTCCGCTGGCCGGGGGCTGCGCTGGATGGCCTCTGGGTGCCCCTTCGCCCTCGGCTTCCGCCCGGCGCGAAGGCGGAGCAGCTCTCTCTCCCGGGCCACGCCCCCTCCTCCGCCCAATCGCAGTCCGGCGAACACCCGGAAGCTCCCTCCTCCTCCTGCCGCTGGCTCCCCACCGGAAACCGGAAGAGGCGGCGCGTCGTCGTCCGGGCCGCATGCAAATGAGGGGGCGTGGCCCGGGGCGGCTCGGGCTCCTGGAGGTCGCGGCGGGCGCGCAGGCCGGCATCGCACCGGGGCAGCTCCGGGGGGAGGAAGCCAGGTGAGGAAGGGGAGGCCGGGGCGGAGGAGAGAGAGAGAGAGAGAGAAGGGGCTCCGGGGTCATCTAGCCCAACCCCGCCCGGAAGGCGGCCTGGCCCCCCCCCAAAAAAAAATGAAAGGGGAAAAAGCTGGAGGTGCATTTCCAAAATATATAAGATATTTTTAAAGATTTTTAAAAGTAAGTATTACAATAAAAATGAAAAAAATAAAAATACAAAATAAAAATAGTTAAAAACACACAGATTTTCCATTGCTTATTTTGCTTTAGCTTGTTTCCCGGACCTCCTCATACCTCCCTTTTTTTTAAAAAATGATATTTTATTGAATTTTTCACCTTATTACATTAAAAAGAAAAAATCAAAAAAGAAAAAACCTCCCTTTTTTGTATACCTCCCTTTTTTGTATTCCACTTCAAATTGTTGGTTCAGCAAATCCTTACTATTAGATTTTTACCTATTTATAACCCTTTTTTCATATTCTCTTAAAGCATTACAGCTGGAAACCACTTAATTTCTATCCAACATCATTCTAACATTCATTAATTTTACAATATTTCTGTAGATAGCCTTTGAATTTCTTCCAATCTTCTTCCACATTTCCAAAATATAAGATAAAAAAACACATAAAAGACAAGCTACAGGCAGTAACAGTACTGGGTGTTGTGTCTCTGGACCTGTTAGGCCAGGGGTCAGCAACCTTTTCCAGCCGCGGGTCCGTCCACTGTCCCTCAGACCATGCGGTGGGCTGGACTATATTTTGAAAAAAATAATAATGAACGGATTCCTCTGCCCCACAAATCACCCAGAGATGCATTTTCAATAAAAGGTCACATTCTAATCATGTAAAAACACGCTGATTCCTGGACCGTCCGCGGGCCGGATTGAGAAGGCGATTGGGCCGGATCCAGCCCCGGGCCTTAGGTTGCCTACCCATGTTTTAGGTCCATAAATTACCATTCAGTCCTACCTCGGGTTACAGGCACTTCAGGCTGCATTTTTTGGGTTATGGACCACTGAAACCCAGAAGTACTGGAACGGGTTACTTCCAGGTTTTGGCAGTCGTGCATGCGCAGAAGATGCTAAATTGCGCTTTGCATGTGCAGAAGCACTGGATTGCAACACTGCTGCGGGTTGCGAACGTGCATCCCACACGGACCACATTCGCAACCCGCACTGTATAGCATATATATTCAACACACAAAAACTGCGGCCATTTTTGTTGTGGGCAAAGGACAGCTGGACATAGAAAGGGCCCCATTCCCTTCCGGAGCTGAGGGCCACATCAGACCTCTATCCAGCCCTGGCTGAAGGGATCTTGGCCTTGAGAAAGGCAGACACTCACCCCAAGGGGCGGATGGATATTGCTTTGGGTTCTGGGAATGGACTCAGGGTGGGGGTTCCAACAGAAGCTGGGGGGGGGCCCTTCTCCACCCCCGTCTGGATCAGTTGCCCCCATCGCTCTGGACACCTTCCTGACCCAGGCCAAATGTCTCAAATGTCAAGGCAAAGTCCGACCATAATTTGCTTCCTGGACATGTCACAGGGAGCTGTTTCCACAGGGCGGGGCCCCCCTCAGAAGGCCCTCGCCTCTTTTAACGCCTCCCAAGGTGGGTGGACCCCCCTGCCTCCTGTGGCAGGGAGTTCCACAGGTTAACAACAACCCCCTTGCCTACGGGCACAGTGCTGCGTAGTGGCCCCCGCCTGTGTTGGCTGGGCTGGGGGTGCCAGATCTGTACCTCACCGCCTCCCTTCTCTCCCGCAGGTCTGGGGCTGCTGCTGCCCCCCACTCTGCCCCCTGCCATGCTGCCGCTCCTCCGGGCCCTGATCAGGGGGGGCACCGGCCCCTTGGCCCCCTGGGCTGACCCAGGCGGGGCTGGCCTGCTCCCGACCTGCAGCTTCTGCCTGGGGAGGGCCAAGCCCCCTGCCTCACCGCCGGAACCCGGCCCCCCGCATCCCGCTGCGGCCCCCGAGGAGTCGCCGGAGAGGCGGAGCAGCTTTGTGGCCCTGAAGCGTCTGCTGGAGCGATCGCGCAGCGTACCCGAGCTCCTGCGCTGGCTGTGGCAGAACCCGGGCCGGGTGTCGGGTGCGCATTATGCCCTGGCCCTCGGCCACCTGGGCCGCCTGCTCCCCCCGGGCAAGGGGGGTCCCCGCCTGGAGCCCCTCCTGCGCCAGCCCTGACTTCCAGCACCTCAGCCGGGCCGTTGCCAGGCGCTGCGCCCACTTTGACGACGCCACCCTCGTCCGCTGCCTCCAGGCCTCGGCTGCGCTGGGTGAGACCTGGGAATGGGGGGGGGCGGATTTGGGAATGGTCGAGCGGGAAGGGAACCCCAAAGGTCTTCTAGTCCAACCCCCGGGCTCTCAATGCTCGCCCGGGTCCCCATGCCAGGGCCAGCCAAGTAGCTCAAAGCCTCTCTGCTGAGGCTGATTTATTTATCCCACAAACTTACTTATCCCACAGCTGGATTGGGAAAAGACCCAAAGGCGGTTTAGGAGAAAGGATCAAGCAGTGAAATTGCCGCCGGGAAGAAGGGAAAAATAATTTGAAAAGTATAAATAACAGCTTAGCCCTCCGCAAAGGGTAGCTCCATTGGTAGAGCCAGAGACTCTGAATCTCAGGGCTGTGGGTTAGAGCTCCACACTGGGCAAAAGATTCCTGCAGGGTGGGGTTGGACTAGATGACCCCAGGGGTCCCTTCCATGATTAAAAACAGATTAAGACTTGCACCAGGGCAGGATCTGTCTGATTATGTTTTTAGCAAGTACCCAAAAAAAGAGCACAGTGAAGGCTCCTGCCTATCAGTAGTTCCAAACTGTATTATTATTATTATTGATTAACTTTATGTATTGCCTTTAATCCAAAGCTTACATGGCGGTTTATAATACAAAAACAGAAAAATACAGATCACAGTAACAAACAAACAAATACACTCCCATTTTGAAAGACCGTAGATAGTTTAAACAGCGTTAGTCCTGGCGCCGAAAGATACGTAATGAGGGCACCAGCTGAGCCTCTCATTGGGGGGGATTGCACAAACGGGGAGCCACTGCAGATAAGGCCCTGTTCTCATGCTGCCACCGTGTGGGGTCCCTGGGGGCTTTGGGGGGTGGCGGGGTGTGTGGGCAGGAGAGGCTGAAGGCAGTCCTTGGCGTTGACCAGGCCTTTCTCTTCTGGCTTCCCAAGGGCCGCCCTTCAGGGTCGGGCAGCGGTGGGACGGCCTCCCCCTAATCCCTGCTCTGCCCCAGGCCTGCCAGGAGACGGCCGCCTGGTCCTGGCGCTGCAGGATGAGGCCCAGAGGCGGCTGGAGCGCCTTCGCCAGAGGAATGTCTCGACGGTCAGCGGCAACAACGTTCGCCTCCGCCCACTGAGCCATGCTGCCGCTACCACCCCCCCTCTGGCGGAGGCCTGCAAGGGCAGCCTAGAGGAACAGCGCCGCCTGCAAACCCTCTTCTTGCTCCTCTCCTACTACTGCCTGCGGGCCCAGAAGCAGCAGGAAGAAGCCCCACCGGTGCGGCGTGAGTTCCTGCGCCTGGTGTGCCTCTCGCTGCGCCAGCTGCAGGTTGCGCAGGAACAGGAGCTGGCGCTGCTGGAGGAGATGCTCTGTCTCTGCGCCCGCGAGGCCACTGGCAGCGACACCCTGGGCGCCATCTTCGGATCCCAGCTCTTCTACCAGAACCGCCGGGAGAACTTCGTCCGCGGCATGGCAGGTGGGTGCCGGGGGGGGGGGGGCGTGCAGGGAAGCGGGAGGCGGTGCCAATCTTCATCCAGCGTCCCTTCCTCCTGGTCCCGGGTTTTGTCAGTCCTTTTTATCCCATTGATCTAGCGCATTAACCTGGTAACCTTATATCCGAGGCCCTTAAGTCTCTTCCATGTCCCTTCCGCGGCTCTTCTTCATATTCTCCTTTCACTTGTGGGAACTCCAGCTTATTAATGTTTTTGGCCCTTTTCAACAAATCAGCCCCTTTTCTATAGTCCAAACTAAAACTCCATGTGGTATTTAAAAACATGTTTCAAAATCCTTCCAAAATTGAGAGCCCCCACAGCTCCAAACCTCTCACGGCCCATTGCCAAACTCGGAAAGTCCAAACATCCCTGCACAGGGGGATCAATCCAACCCCCCATTTCCAAACCAGTCCAAACTTTATCTTTCCAAGTCTGGTTTTTTCCAAGTTCATTTGTCAAATCCAAAAGCTCATGTTCCTGCAGGTCCGCAGCTCCCTCCATCTCTGGCGCCCAAGATTCAGCAGCATCCTCTTCTCTCATCTGTTCTGTCAGGGCACACTCCTGATTTAATTCCTGGGTGGGCTCCATATATTTCCCCACTGCCTGATCAAAATTTCCCACTGCCTGATCAAAATTTCCCACTGCCTGTTTAAAATTTCTGATCGAGTCAGTCATCAAATTCGTCTTCTCATGTAACTGTTCCAGTAGGGCATTTGTTTTATAAAAAGCGCACAACAGAGCTTCTGAATACATTGTCCTACAAGGTCACAAGTCTATTCCCACGATTGTAATCTGTGACAGCTGTAAGCTCCCTGGAATTAGTTACAGTTTCACAGTCTCCCTCTAGGGGGAAAACTTCTATTTGTTCTTTCTTTTGAGGACAAATCTAACAACAAAGTTGCTTTTTTCTTTGCTTTATTCAGTCTACAAAGAAACGGAAGGCTGACTTCCTGTTTAGACCTTCCCGTCTCAGTACCAAATTGAAGTAAATATTTAAGCCCGATTCTTTTCTGCTCGCAAGTCCTTATTTTAAGTCCAATTGTTCCAAGTTTAGGTACTCACGGTGATTATTTTTAAAGTCCAAATTGTCCCAAAAAGAAGGCAGCGCTCTCCGGCAACGGCTATGCGGCTTCGCTCCACGGAAAAAGCAGTTGACTCACAGCACCACGCCACTTCCCCCTCTTCGCTTTGGAGCCCGTTAGTGGGTTCCTTTGCGGGTTGGGGGGGCGCTAAGGGTGCCCGCCGAGTCCCACGGTCACAGGCTTCATCCGCCTGTGATTTCCAGAAGGGTCCCTGCTTCGCCGCAGCGGGAAAGACCCGTTTCGCGCGGAGCTAGTCCCTCCAGTTCAGAGGGAGTCCCACAACCCTGAGATCAAACGTCTTATGCTGCACCAACTGAGCTATCCCTGTGGGCGGCAGAAGGGGTTTTTCCTATGGGGCTGGTGGGGCAGAGCCCAGTGCCCCCCAGGGGAGTAGAAACACCTCAATTGGAGCGAGTGAACAGAGGGGAGGCCCAGGGCTGAGCTCTGAGGAAACCAGTGGGAGAGACAGTATGGTGTAGGGGTCAGAGTCGTGGACTAGGACCTGGGATATCAGGGTTCGAATCCTGCCTCAGTCATGAAGCTCCCTGGGTGTGACCTGGAGCCAGTCCCTGGGGTAGCTCAGTCGGCGGAGCACAAGACTCTTCGGGTCTTGGGTTTGAACCCCACGTCAGGCAACAGATTCCTGTAGGGCTGGGGGTTGGACTAGATGACCCTGGTGGTCCCAGCTCTACAATTCCATGATTTTCCCAGCCTCACCTCCCTCACAGGGTTGTTGTGGGGGTTGACTGAGGGTGGGGAGAGCCCCGTATGCCTCCTTGAGCTCCTTGTAGGAAAAGAGGTGGGCTTCTCAATGCCAGCAAGCAGGGGGGGGGCTTCTGGGGTCTCCTCGCAGCTCAACCCCATGGGACACCCACCCTCTGCTTACACCCCTCTTGCGAAGGAGAGCCCACCACCCTCTGAGGAAGCCTGTCCCACCGCTTTCAGGGGGCACGCTGCTTATTTGGGGGGCCTGCTGAGCTGCTCTTTCCCTCCGCAGACTGGTTCCCTGGCAAGGCGGGGGCTTGACCCCTCCCACCATGGCCCTGGTTGCCAAATACCTGGCCCGCCACCGCCTGAGAGAGCCTCGCCTGCTGGACGCCATCGCCACCTTCCTGCTGGAGAGGGCACAGCAGCTGGACAGCAAGGTGAGCTTGGGGTTTGGGGAGCCTTCCTGTTTGGGGTGCCCCTAGCCAGAGGTCAAGGAGGACCGACAGACCACCCGGCGCCCCCTGCTCTGTTTCTAAGGACCTGGGAAGAGCCAAAATACGGGGTGAGGCCCATGGGCCACTCAGTATCCTCTTTGCACAGTGGCCAACCAGGGGCCCTAGAGGGAAACCCCTGAGCAGGATTCGAACACAGGAGCAGCTCTGGGGTATCCAGCAAGCGTCACAACAGAGCTGAGAAAGAGAGAGGCCTGCAAGTACAGGGCGCTGTACAAATTTAATTAATAAGAATAAGAATAATAATAAAGTCATTGCTCGCCATCCTCCTCCTCCACAAATTTGCCCGTTTCTCTTCTGAAGCTGCCCAAGATGCTTCCCATCCCTGCCTTCTGTGTGTCAATTGTATTTAGATATGTAGGAGAGGATGTCAAGTGATTATCCTTCCTCTTTTCCTGTGTGTCAGAGTCCAGATACCTGCTTCACTGGAGAAAAATCATCTGTGCGCAGCTCATCTCTAGAAGCTTTTAAGACGAGGTTGCAGAAACTTTTAGAACCATTAGGATGCTTTAGGCAGACTTGGATTACCTTCTCATTTTTTATCTTACAAAAATCACTCTCAGGCTCTTGGGTAAACAAGGAAAACATCAGTTTTACTCACATCAAAAGTCCTGCCAGGGTTCAGCACGTACAGGGATGAAAATTTTGCAGGCAGTAACCCCTAACAGTTACAGAAGTCCATGGTCCAGTTCAATTTGTGTGCTCCCCAGAGGAGAGCGAAGAAATATCCTCCCCCATTGCAGGCTGAAAAAAGTGGAGATTAAGTTTCTCTTCTTCCCTTTCCCTCCACATAGGATTAGAGGATATTATTATTATTATTATATTATTATTATTATTATTATTATTATTATTTATTAAATTTATATGCTTCTCTTCATCCGAAGATCTCAGGGTGGCTCATTTGTGATCTCGGCTGCTCATCCTGTGGCAGGGAGTTCCACAGTTTAGCTGCTGGGGTTCTCCCTGATCCCTGGAGCAGCCCACCTCTCTGAGGCTGCCCTGGTCTGAGGCTCTTGGGGGTCTGGAAGATCCCAGTGTGATCTGCTGAGCACGTCGGGACCCGCTTCCTGGCCAGTGCCCTGCACGGGGTTGGCCTAGATGACCCTCGGGTCCCTTCCGACCGGACGGTTCTGCAAAGCGTGCCTCGGACTCCAGCCTCCCTGGGGCTTTGGGGAGGGGCAGGACACAATGTTGGGGGGGGGGAGGGCCGAGAGGCTGACCCCCCAGGCCTCTCCTCCTGCAGATGATCCAGAAGCTGGTCTTCCCCTTCAGCCGGTTGAACTTCCGCCCGTCCAACCACGCCGCCCTCTTCCCCCGCCTGGAGGCGGCTCTGCAGAAGCCGGGCGTCTCCCCGCTGGCCGCCCTCAACGTCCTCATGTCCTTGGTGCAACTCGGCCACTTCCCTCCTGCCCTCCTGCGCCAAGTCTTCTCTCCCGCCTTCCTGGCCAACGTCACCAGTAGGTTCCCGCCTGGCGGGGGGTTGGGATGGATGACCCCCGGGGTCCCTCCCTTCCCATGCTGCCGTTCTGCCATTCCATGGGCCTCGGGACCCTGGGAGGTCCAGTGATTTTTTTGGGGGGGTGCTGTTCTTCGGGGGGCCCGCCTTGAGCAGCAGATGAGGGGCAGCTCCCCTTCTCCCCCCCCCCAGGCAGCCCCTGCGGGCAGATTGTGCTGCGCTACCTCTCCCTCTTGGACGCGGCTGTGGCACTGGAGGTCCCCGAGTACCGCGGCCCCCGCCTGCCCCCCCAGTACCACGTGCGCATGTTCGAAGGGGCGCTCACCGCAGACGAGGCCAACCGCAAGTACAGGTCAGAGCCTGGGGGGGGCGCCTGGGAGAGGGTTGCGCTTTAGGGCTGGGCTTGCCAGGGGTTGGGATGGATGACCCTCTGGGGTCCCATTCATCTCTCCTAGGAAATTCCCATGGACTTGGTGTGAATGACTCAATCCTTTTTTGGAGAGGGGAATATTTAACCTCGGGGTGGGTGCAATAATTGGGAGAGAAAGAACCCCCCCACCCAAGCTAGGAGGGGAAGAGGCGCTGAGCTGCCATGTGTCTTTGGGGGGATGGGGGCCTTTGGCGCACTGACCCCCCCTCCTCTTTGCTCCTCAGCTACAAAGGCCTGGTGGGAGAGGCTCTCTGCCAGCTGGTGGGCAGGGGGTGCTTCCGGCAGGACGAGGTGGTGCCCCCGGGATATTGCCTAGGTGAGTGGGGGGCCCCGTCCTTTGGGGCCTGTGGGGTGGGGAAGGGCCCCCCAGCCGGAGAAGGGGGCTCGGCTTCGGCCCCCAGGTCCCTGGCTTCCTTTGCTGTATCAGAGCCGAGTTCACCTTCCGCCAGGGATGCTCTTTTGGGCGATTCCTGCCTGGCCGGGGGTTAGACTAGATGACTCAGGGGGTCCCTTCCAAGGCTCCGATCCTTCAATTCTCGGAAAGGTGCCCTAGGTGTGTGCTGGGCAGGGGAGCTGGAAGCTCTCGGATGAGGCGTGCAAATGTCTCCCTCCAACTCTCCTGGCATTTAAGGGGCAGAGGCGGGTGAACAATTTTCCATTTTAAAAACGGGTCGTAAAAGATCACCAATGGATCCGGTCTCAGTTTTGGGGTCATATTGAATTTTCCACACCACAATCTGTTTCGACAGCCTCTTTGCTTCTTCCCGCTTTAGGTATAAATTGATGGATCCCATTAGGTAGCCTCATCTTTTAAATATTTGCAAATATTTCAACAGAAACGAATTGCTGCTCTAAACGCTTGGCGTGCCTTTAAGGGACGTTTTATAGCATCCTTGGACTCTGGGGCTGGGCTGGATGACCCCTGGGGTCCCTCCCAACTCTGCAATCCTGAGAGTCTATGAATCTTTCCTCCCACCCCAATGAAACGCTCCAGTTCAGCTGCTTTGGGCTGTTGGGCATAAAAGCAGCTTTGGGGATTTTTCCTTTCTTAATAATTTGGGGAAAATTGCTTTCAACTCCTGCTCACCTCCAGGCCTTTCCAAACTCCGATCAGTTGGACCTTCTTGGTCCTTTGACATGTCACATACAGTGGATCGTGCCCTCCACCCCCCCCCACCTGTAACTGCAGGCTCCCTGGGGGAAAGAGTGCTCCTGAGCCCGTGCAAAGTGTTTTTTAGCCACCAAGCAACCCCACTTCTCCCTTTGTCTCGAACCCCCCAGCCGATCCCCCTTTCTTTCTTTCTTTCTTTCTTTCTTTCTTTCTTTCTTTCTTTCTTTCTTTCTTTCTTCACAGACTTCCTGCTCTGGGTCACCCCTTCTGGCAGCGTCCTCCCCCTGGGGGGCCCCCACAGCTCTCCCAAGGGTGCTGCCCTCGCCTCTGGAACTCAGAACCCGGCATCTTTGGGGCTGGAGTCGACAGCAGGGCCTCTGCTGCCCCCGGACAGCTTGTGTGGCCCCAGCCGGGAGCTCTCGCCAGGGACCCCCTCCCTGAGCAGCCCCACGCGGACGGACCCCTCCCCGGCGAGCAGCAACGGGACCCACTTCTTCTTCCCCGCCTGGGGGCCAGAGACTGGGCAGGGGCTCTGCCTCCCCCCAGCGGACGAAGGGGGCCCCTTCTCCCCCCAGGGGCCCAGCACCAAAGGCGCAGCGCAGGGTGGTCCACAGGAGAAGGAGGGGGTCCACAGGTACCTGCAGTACGAGTGGGGGGGGGAGGCACCTCTGACCTGGGGCCACAGTCGTGGGGGTGGGGGGGGCCTGGTGCTTTTTCCGCCGCTTGGCCACTGAAAGGAGCCAAGTGCTTTCCTCTCTCAGCCCATCCTGCTGCGGTTCCTGCCTTGCAGCGGGTTGGACTAGATGACCGCTGGGGGTCCCTCTTCAGTTCTGTGCTTCTCTCCTTCCTGGCCCAGAGCCGGCTAAGTTTGCAGGCTGCCTGCCCTTGCCTAGCCTCTTCTGGCGGTGGCTCACAGCCTGTGCTCAGAACATGTCAGGGCTCGGCTGGGCCAGGAATGCCTAGCCTGGGGGGGCTGAGTTATGGGGAGGGAGGGGTTGGAGCCTGTTTGCAGAAGGGGTAGCCGTTTTGGGGGCGCAGAGGAGCCAAGCCCGACCCCCCTGAACCCCGGCTGCCTCTGGAGCTGGCTGTTCCAGGGCGCCCTCTTGTGCCAAGGGGGGGGGCTCTCCCCCATCTTCTTGCGTCTGGGGAGGGGGCCTGCCCTCCGTTTCTGACCAGGAGAGGCAGCCACATCCTTCAGAACTTGCAGTGTTTTCTTCTGGGGCTCTTAACTGAGGGGACCTTGAATGACGGGGGGCGCACACTCCCTCTGATGCCAGCACCCCATTTCCTCCCCCCAGGGTGGTGCTGTCTGTCAACGACCAATGGCATTACTGCCACGGCTCCTCGGTCCTGGTGGGCTCTCGGGCCATGCGCAGCCGACATCTCCGCCTGTTGGGCTACCGCCTGGTGCAGGTGAGCAGGACTCTCCCTCCCCACACTTCCGGATGGGCTGGGCCGCTCCCAGGCAGCGTTTCCCGGCTGTGCTGCCCAGAGGGGTCCCCTTGGGCCGGATCCGGCAGCCAGGCTCTTTGGACGCCTGCATGGAGCCTCCGGGAGCAGGAGCAGTCTACCTGGTCGCCCAGGGTCCCAGGGTCTTTTGCCCGGCAGGCTTTTCCTCTGCTTCTTTGCTCTGCAGCTGCCCTACCAGGAGCTGGAGAAAATGAGGGGCGTCGAGGAGACCAAGGTCTACCTGAGACGGAAGCTGGAGGAGCTGCAATTCTGAAGCAGACGCCTCGCTGTGGGTCTGTGTGGGTCACCGGACAGCGGGCACGTTTGGGGATGGTGTGGGTCTTTCCTTGCAGAGCACACATTCCCCCAGTGCACCCCTGAGAGGGATTCGTTCAAGGTGCAAGAGAGGGTTTTTCTTTGCAATAATAAATTAAAATAAATTAAAAGAATAATAATAATAAAGAGGCGAAACGTCCAGACCAGCTTCCTTCTCTTGCTTTATTTGCCTCCCTCGTTCAGCAAGGAATGGGGCAGAGGGCTCCCTTCCGCCGCCCCCAGCCTCCCCACAACGCATCGTCCTGCCTCCAGCGCGGCCCTATGGACCTGCCGCACTCACTTCCTCCGGGGGGGGGATGCCCCGCCCCACTTTCCTGGGGGCACCTCTTCCTTGGCCTTCGGCTGGGCATGGTTGGGGAGGCAGTGCCCCCCAGCTGAGGGCAAAGCCCCTGCCCCACTGCCCTTGCCGGACGCCCCGCCCTAAGAAAGCCGCGTTGAGATTGGATGGGGCTAGAGGGTGATTGTCTTTGGGGGTGAGGGTGGGGCACGCCCCCCACCCCCTCTAAGGCTGGCGCAAGGAAGCAAAGGGGTGGGGGGTGTCTCAGGGGTGTGAGTGTGCTGAGCGCCCCCAGAGGCGGCTGGGGGATGTGGGGCGACCCCTCTGCTCCGGGGCAAGAAGGCACTGGGGTGGGGGGTGGCTGGTCAAGGCACTGGGGTGCCATCTCCAGGGCCCTTTCCGGCCGCTGCCCTGCGGGTCTCCGTCCATGCTGCCCGCCTCACACGGGCATGGGCATCTCATTGTACTCGTCCACCCCTTCCCTCTCGTCCAGGATGGGCTCGGCCTCGGCTGCGTCCAGCTGTGGGGCAAAAGAGAGGGGGGGCTCAGGGGCAGTGGGGGGAGGAGGAAGGGGCGGCTTCTGCTCCCCCGCCACCCCCATCCCCGGGAGCAGAGGTGCCAGCGCAGCCCGCTTCCCCCCTGCCTTGTGAGGGCTCTGCGCCCGGCGGGGCCTCCTCTGCGTTGGCCACTTACACACTTCATCTCCCTCTCGGTGAAGATGCGGCTGAGCAGGCACATGCGCAGGGGGACCGTCAGGATGAGGATGAAGGGGAAGGCCAGCGAGGCCACCGTGGACATGACGGCCCACAGCACCGCCAGGCAGGCCAGCTGCAGCAGCGTGAAGAGGTGCATCCGCAGCGTCCGCACCTGCAGGGCCACAAGTGCAGCGTCGGAAAGGGGACCCCGGGAGGTCATCCAGCCCAACCCCCGGTTACAGCTCCAGGAGCCCTGGCAGGCGGCCGTCCAAGGAAGACCCACAACCGAGGCCAGAATCGCCCTCCGCCTTCCCACCCCACTGGTCCCAGGAGAAGGGGGGCCAGACCTACGCCTTTTGGGGCTCAGACTGTTATGGGGGTCCCATCGCAACCAGCAATGAGGTCCGGATTACCCCATTCCCTATCCAGTGGGGTTTTTCCATGACAGATCCCCACGTTAAAAAATTAAAAATTAGCTGCTACAATAGATTTTGATTAAAATGTCTGCCCCGGGTTAGCTCACCTGTCAAAGTCACTGGGTTAATAAAAACACCCAGTGCCATATAGTTTTCCGGGCCCCACCTTGGGCAAAAGATCCCTGCCTTGCACGGGGTTGGAGTGGATGACCCTTGGGGTTCCCTTCCTACAATCCTGTGATTCTTTTCTGAGCCACACATTCGCGTCCCGAGAGCTTCCTGGCCGTGACACTTCCTGGAGACGATGCTGGGAGAATCTGAGCGCTCTTCAGCAGAACGGCCAACTTACCGCCTTTACATCTGTGCCGCAGATTCTCAGACTTTGGGATTGTTGAAATAGGTGCCGCCAGAAATTAATCCGTTTCAGTCATGCAGCTCAAACTGAGTCTACTGGACCCATTTTTTTAAAAAACGCAATGTGGACAGAAGTCGCTTCTGGGGCTCCTCCTGTGGAGCCAGGGGCAGAAGGACCCTCTGGGCTCTGGGGAAATGGGGCTCCGTGGGGTGCAAAGAGCCTCTCCTGGGCCTCTCCCCTGACCCCCCACCCCAAATCCCAGGCCAGGGCCCTCCCCTCTGACCTTCTTGACGTAGGTGACGTCCGGGTGGTGCTTGGGGGGCATAAGCAGCAGGTGGAGTCGCTCGTAGAACTGGATCCCGTTCAGAGAGGTGACGCCCATGTAGAGGAAGATCCCAAAGAGGACGGCCAGGGGGATCTTCCGCAGAAGGTCGCCAATCACGATGGACAGGCCTGGAGGGGGAACAGGGCGGTTCAGCAGGAGTCCTGCCAGACCCCAACATCCCCCCCCCCGCAAGGTGTGGGTCTGCCTCCCCCAATGCCCCCACTTTGGGGCATCTCCATCAAGCAAAGTGACAAGATGGAGAATGCATGGAGAAGTACGATGACGCGTTTATACAAAATATAGTCATTTAAAAATAAACACGGACATATTTGGATAATGAAACCAATACCTAGACAGAGTATATGGAATCGTAAGGGTTAACTCTTAGGACTCAGCGAAATAGCCATTTGATTGCACTATAAAAATGAATCACCAGATGGCGCAATGAGAGCAGGACATTTTAAAACTTTTCCATAGAGATTTCCCCTTTCATTATTCTGACTTATTTATAGCGTTTTTCCCCTGTGTCTAGATCAGTGGTTCCCAATTAGCTCATTACTGAGGACTCCCTATTTTTCAAAAGCCAAGCCACGGAACCCCTACTTTTGAAAATTTAGGTAACTCTACGGGAGTTACCTCCACAAAGCCATTTTCGGAACAAAATGTGGGGTAGCCCCTAATATGCAAAGGATTTTAGGTATACTAAGAAACAGACTCAGACTGAGCGATATCTGGTTTTCAGCATAGTGACGTATCAGCAGCTAAACATCGTGATATTCCAATATATGTCTGAAATTGGAGATCAGGAGTGGGGCTGAGGGAGGGAGCAATCCTAGAGATTAGGCGGGTGGGGGGCACACAGATCTGGCATGGGGCTGAGGGCTGGGCAATGTCAGGTTTCCAACAGAGACTTCCGGTCGGCGCCAGCGCTTAATGGCGGTCCTTGCCTCGAGCTCCGAGGCAGGACTGCTCCGCGGGTTCGGGTCTGACCCGCTACGGCGAGCGGGGGACCCCTAAAATCACAGGCGCAGAAGCCTGTGAGCAAGGAGACTCGGTGGGCACCTTTGCACCCCCCGGTATCGCGAAAGAGCCTTTTTAAAGGCTCCGGAGCGGCATCGGGAGTGAGCGCGGTGCTGAGAGTCGCAACCCAGCCCGCGGAGTGAAGCCGCGTCGCCATTAACGGAGAGCGCCGATTCCTTCCTGAATCTGAAATTCGACCATAATACTCGTGAGTAAGACTGAGAAATTTAAATGGGACATCTAAATTGAATTTAGAAATTTGGCTGAAAACGGGAAAGGCATAAACTAAGGAAGTCTGCCTCCCCGGACTGCATGACTTTTAAAGCAACGGAAAAGTAGAACTAAGTAGGAGAGCCTACCCTTTTGGGGTGAGTTAAAAAAACAACAACATTAACCTCCACGATTTGGTAAAAGAAGTTTTGAGCTGGAGTGCAAGAGTGGACTTTCAGAAGTTTTTCCTTTGCTGCATGTAAACTCCCCCTCCCGGGCCCGGGAGCGCCCTGTCTTCGAGCCTGTTGAAAAGGAAAGGAGTTTGACAGCTGTCAAAAGCTGTCAAACGGGCAATTTAAGGGGGAAAAGCTTGCTATTTAAGACCTCTCTGGATTAAATGTGATACAATTGAACTTAAGTGGTTGGAAACAAAGAAACAAGCAGTGAAGTAAGAGATTGTGGGGAAAAGACTACTAAGTAACTAGATTCCCCCTAGGGGGAATTCTGAGACATTACAATGGCTGCGGAGGGAAATTTACTAGCTGAGATAGAAAGAACATTCTATCTTTTGGGAATCTTACAAGAGCAGAGTCTTGCAATGAATAAACAACTTGTGACCTTGACTTCTGGAATAAGCAGCTCTGCTGAATGTAATGAGGAACTGTATGAGAAAAAATCTGCAGCTGAATTGGAAGAGATATCGCAAGAAGTAAAGGAGACAAAACAAGTAAAGGAGAGAGCACTGATGGAAAGTACCAAGCCTTTACAAGTGGTTTACAAACAAAAAGACCTTTGGATTACATGGATTATAAATCTGCAAAAGAAGCGAAAGATGAAGGAGGAAGCCCCTGGAATACTTGGAATTCAAGAACTCAAAAGAAAGAAGAAATATGACTGGGACCTCCATTCTGACCTCGAATATGAAGGATTGGTGGAGCTTTTGCAGCAGTTGTCCTTAAGTGTTTCTGAGGGAATAAAATTTGGCTTGATCGGGACAGAACTCCTTAGAGATCCAAAGATCAACATGAAGGACTACCAACAAATCTGGCGGAGAGGAACGGAAAGAGATTTCAAGGCCTCGGATGTGAGGAATCCAGGCTAAGGACTGTTATTTTGGACATATATTTGGAAGGGACGGAAACCGGGGATGGGAGGGGGAAAACAGAAATTTGTGTTTTTTGTTTTTTTTTCCTTCTTTTTCTTTTTTGGGTTCAGTCAATATGTTTATAATTCATAAAAATTGTGAAATCGATGGAAGGGAATTTGAGTCCAACTTAGGATAAGAATTAAATTTTTTATAAAAGATGTAATATTAACATGGTAAGAAGGGAAAATGATAACCTGCCGACACAATTATGGGAATTGGGATGCATGAAGATTAACAAATTTAGGGAAATTTAAAAGAAATTGATTTGAATAATTAGACTGAGGAGTTGCTGAAGAGGTACAAAACAAGGATGCAGGGAGGGGAAGGTATGGGGAAGTCCGAGAAATAAGGTTATGAAAAAACGGTTATGAAATTATACATGTTTATATGTTTGTATGTCTGTGTATTGTGTATTGTTTGTGTATACTTTGTGTTTAAAAAACTAATAAAAATTATTTAAAAAAAAAAAATGTCAGGTTTCCAACATTGTGGTATATCACCAGCTGAACATCGCCGTTTGGTGAGATACAGCAATGTTGAAATAAGCTGCACTGGCTGCAGTCGGGGGCCAATGCAGCTGCCTAATTCTGCCCCCCTGCTCAGCTGCAATGCAGGAGTTTAATATTATTATTATTATTATTATTATTATTAATGCCCCGTCCATCTAGCTGGGTTTCCCCAGCCACTCTGGGCGGC